CCCTAAACCCTAAACCCTAAACCCTAAACCCTAAACCCTAAACCCTAAACCCTAAACCCTAAACCCCTAAACCCTAAACCCTAAACCCTAAAACCCTAAACCCTAAACCCTAAAAACCCTAAACCCTAAACCCTAAACCCCTAAACCCTAAACCCTAAACCCTAAACCCTAAACCCTAAACCCTAAACCCTAAACCCTAAACCCTAAACCCCTAAACCCTAAACCCTAAACCCTAAACCCTAAACCCTAAACCCTAAACCCTAAACCCTAAACCCTAAACCCTAAACCCTAAACCCTAAACCCTAAACCCCTAAACCCTAAACCCTAAACCCCTAAACCCTAAACCCTAAACCCTAAACCCTAAACCCTAAACCCTAAACCCTAAACCCTAAACCCTAAACCCTAAACCCTAAACCCTAAACCCTAAACCCTAAACCCCTAAACCCTAAACCCTAAACCCTAAACCCTAAACCCTAAACCCTAAACCCTAAACCCTAAAACCCTAAACCCTAAACCCTAAACCCTAAACCCTAAACCCTAAACCCTAAACCCTAAACCCTAAACCCTAAACCCTAAAAAACCCTAAACCCTAAACCCTAAACCCTAAACCCCTAAACCCTAAACCCTAAACCCTAAACCCTAAACCCTAAACCCTAAACCCTAAACCCTAAACCCTAAACCCTAAACCCTAAACCCTAAACCCTAAACCCTAAACCCTAAACCCTAAACCCTAAACCCTAAACCCTAAACCCTAAACCCTAAACCCTAAACCCTAAACCCTAAACCCTAAACCCTAAACCCTAAACCCTAAACCCTAAACCCTAAACCCTAAACCCTAAACCCTAAACCCCCCTAAAACCCTAAACCCTAAACCCTAAACCCTAAACCCTAAACCCTAAACCCTAAACCCTAAACCCTAAACCCTAAACCCTAAACCCTAAACCCTAAACCCTAAACCCTAAACCCTAAAAACCCTAAACCCTAAACCCTAAACCCTAAACCCTAAACCCTAAACCCTAAACCCTAAACCCTAAACCCTAAACCCTAAACCCTAAACCCTAAACCCTAAACCCTAAACCCTAAACCCTAAACCCTAAACCCTAAACCCTAAACCCTAAACCCTAAACCCTCTACGGAGGGAGGAGGACAAGGAGGAGGAGCCTGCCCAAGAACCTGCTGAAGGAGCGGTACAAAGTACGGTCGCGGCCGCGCAGCGTCTCCAGAAGCAGAAGGGACTCCAGCGGCCGGGTCCTCAGCACCAGTAGGAGCTCCAGCGTCCGGGTCCACAGCACCAGCAGCAGCTCCACCGCCCGGGGGTCCCCAGCTCCAGCAGCAGCAGCTCCACCGTCCGACTCCTCAGCACCAGCAGCAGCTCCACCAGGTGGGTCCGCAGCACCAGCAGCAGCGCCACCCCCAGAGTCGGCAGCTCCAACTCCGCTAGCACCGCCAGCGCCAGAGTCCCCAGCTCCAGCAGCTCCAGTCGCAGTGCTCCCAGAACAGCCAGTCCCGGCAGCTCCAGTACCCCCAGTACGAGCACCCCCAGGACGAGCAGCTCCATCCAGCCCAGCACCCCCAACTCCAGCCGAGCCACTAGGACGGCGAAAGCGTCGGACGTACCAGTCACGAAGCTGCTGCGGTGTGAGAGACTGCTCAGCACCCCGAACCGGAGCACCCCCAGACGCAGTAACCCGAGGCTCCGTAGGCTCAGTAGCAGCACCCCCAGGCTCAGTACCCCTAGGCTCAGCACCCCCACCCCCAGTCGCAGTACCCCCAGGCGGCAAACTCTCAGGCACAGTACCCTCAGCTCCAGCACCCGCAGTCCCAGCACTCCCAGGCCCCGCACCCGCAGGCTCAGCACCCCCAGGCGCAGCACCCCCAGGCTCCGTACTCTCAGGCACCGTACCCTCAGCTCCAGCACCCTCAGTCCCAGCACCTGCAGCCCCAGCACCCCCAGGCCCAGCACCCCCAGGCTCAGCACCCCCAGGCTCAGCACTCCCAGCAGCACCACCCGCAGCAGCACCTGAGTCACCTGTGACCTCGACAGGCTCAGCGACGGGAGGAGGGTCTACCTGAGAGACACCTGAAGGAGCAGGACCCTGAGGGGGAAGGGGGTCTACCGGAGGGGGACCAGGAGCAAGGAAAAGCGGCGGGGGGGGGGGGGCAGTGCGGTAGGGGAAGAGACGGTAAAAAGGGACCGACTCGTCAAAGGTGACATCCTGAGAGGCGAAGACCCGGCGCGAGTGGGGGTGGTAAAACTGCCAGCCAGGCGCGTCAGGGACAAAGCCAAGGAAGACACAGGGAAGCGTGCGGGAGGAGAGCTTGTCCGCAGACGTATCGCGGACAAGGGCACGAGCACCCCACACCCGGAAGCGCGACGCATCGCCAACCTCCCCCGTCCAACGCAGTGTGGGCGAGGTCTCCGGCAAGGAGACACGGGGCCAGAGGTTGAGCTGATGCGCGGCGTACCGGACAGCAAACGGCCACAGAAAATGGGGAGCCGCCGCGTGGACCAAGGAGGTACGAGCGACCTCCATGACCAGGCCAATGCGGCGCTCAGCAACCCCATTCTGCTATGGGGAGTCCGGAAGCGTGAAGGTCTGCTCGATGCCCTCCGCCTGACAGAAGGTCCTCAAGAGATCGGAGGAAAACTCACCACCTCTGTCAGAGTGCAGACGCAGAACAGGAAGGTCCGTCCGGAAACGGCGGCGGAGCTGGAGACGAACCGTGCGGATCCAAGGGATCAGAACAGCAGGGACCTCACCCTTGGTGCGCAAGGGGAAGACCGTGGTGTAACGCGAGTAGTCGTCGACAACCAGCAAAAAGTACCGCTCACCGCCCTGACCACGAACGCGGGCTGGGCCCCACACGTCCAGGTGGAGGGTCTGCAGAGGAGCCTCTGTCGGGGGAAACGAGGAGGAGTGAGGAGCGGCGCGCTGCGCCCCCTCGACGCAAGGAGGCAAGGCGGCGCAGGCGAGCAGGGAGGGGAGGGAGGGACCTGGGAAGACCGGACACAAGGTGGCGACGGTGCATGCCACGAAGGCGTGGCAAGGAGGGGTGACCCAGGCGGTGGTGCCAGAAGAAGTCTGGTGCGACAGGGAACGACACTCACAGGCGTGGGCCACCAGACCTGACGCAGACACCTGACCGACAGCAGCTACCTGGGGAGACGCAGTGGTCAGTGTGTAGAGACTCGACCCCGGCCGACGGGTGAACGTAGCCAGGTGACGGCCGGTCCTAGAGCACGTGCAGATCGCCACACGCTGTCCGCCAGGGGTAAAGGTGTCAACCCACTGATCCTGGAGGACAGCGTTGCTCACCAGGTTCGTCGAGAACGAGGGGAGGTGGAAACCCGACAACGAGCCAGACGGAACCGCCGGACAAGGGAGGACAGTGGTGGACTGGGCAAGGACTGGGCCCCCAGAGGGGTCAGCCAAGGAGACTGGGACCGGTGCAGGAAGCGGTGTGAGCTCAGTACTGTCACGGAAGAAGCAACGGGAAGCACCTGAGTCAAGGGTGAAGGTGTGACAGGCCTCAGCCGGTGCGGTACCTGAGAGAGCAGTCTCGAAACCAGCCGGGACACAAGCACTGGGGGGAGCAAGTACAGGGGGCACCATACCAGAGAGAGCAGACTCACTAGTACCCAGGGCAGCGGGCTCTATACCTGGGTCAGGCGGCACACACAAGTAACAGTCTCCCTCGGCACTAACAGTCAATGCATACATGGCAGCAATAATAGCATCATAGTCAAGAGCAAAGACATCAACACCAGCCCTCATGAGCTCAGCCCAGCGGGGGCGCTCAACATCCGCACCCATCTCCTCACGCCAAGCGTCGTCAAGGCGGGAGAAGCAGCGGTACGGGGTGTGGAACCTCCCACACGTCTGTCCCTTGCGGTCACCTGTGCGAATGACATAAGAACAGCGGCCACTGGCCCCCGACGTCCCACGCTGAGCAAGCCACTCACGAAGCTGCTGGGTCGTCTGGGGACGCTGCTGCTGCTGGGAGCTCTGGCCCGAGCCAGTGCCTCCACTCCGACCTCCGCCGCCACCACTACCACCGCTCCGACCGCCACCGCCACCACCGCCGCCACCAACCGCCACCACCGCCGCCAACCGCCCCAGCCGCCCACTACGCCACCTACTGCCACTGCTTCCTCCGCCGCCCCCGCCTCCACCACCACCCACCGACCCCACTCCCACCAGCCTCCCGCCACCAACACCGCTCCCGTCCAGCACCGCCGCCCCCCCCACCTCCCCCACCTCCTCCCCCCCCAGCGCCACCACCACCACTTTTGCCCCCCTTGCCCTTGCCGGTGCGGCGCCTCCCACCAGGAGTAGAAGCAGCGCCAACAGACTCAGCACCAAGGAAGTCAACAGCAGCAGCAGCAGCGTAGGAGGGAGCGAGGGGAGAGGGAGAACACCCCTCAAAGATGGGGGTGCGAGGAGCGCCACGAGCAGCACCGACAGCTACAATGCTCTTTTCGGCCGCGAGCAGGTGCTCCTCTAGGAGGGCGACTGTGAGCTCAGTGGGACAGCGAGCAAGGAAGTGGTCTCGAACTGAGCGGAGGGTGTCAGGGAGACGGGTGACTATGAAGTGGAGTGTCCAGTACAGTGGAGGGGGTTCTTAGCGCAGAACTCGGTGGGAAGGGCGGCACGCAGGCGAGCATCACTAGTGCGAAGGTGGGTGATAAGATCGGCGACTGTAGTAAAGGTGGACAGATCGGGGAACAGGTACGGCAGCATGAGGCGGCTAAGCTCGGCTGTGGCAGGCGAGGAGTAGCGAGCGACGACAGCATCGTACAGGGCCTTAGCGGATTTGCAGTCGCCAAAATGCTCGAGCTCAGCTAGCGGGAGGTGACTGCGAATGGCTAGGCGAGCAGCTGCGTCACGAGTCTGCCAGTGGGAACGAACACTAAGCTCGGCTGTGGCAGCAGGAGCAGCGGCAGCACCAGACGCGTAGTCATAGAGGGAGATGTGGTCCGTGCTATTGCTCATAAGATACAACTGCAGGTCGTCGAGCCAGGAAGTGAACTGCACGGGACGGCCCTCAGCATCGAAGGAAAGAACGCGAATAGAGGCCATAGCTCAGGCGTGAGGGCACAGCAGAGCAGCGGCAGCAGCAGAGGGGACACGCTAGAGCGAAGCTAGTAGCCACAGCAGGAGAAAGCGGCAGTGCACAGGCAGGGAGCAGCAGGTGAGAAGCGCGGCGGGCTGCGAAGCGGGCAGCGGTGTGGGCGGGCGACGCAGCAAGCGGGCAGTGAGGCAGCGGGCGGCGCTGCGAAGCAGGTAGCGGGCGAGCGGGCGGCGCTGCGAGCGGGCAGCGAAGCGGGCGGGCCGCGAAGCGGGCAGCTAGCGGGCGGGCGGGCTGCGAAGTGGGCGGGCTGCGAAGCGGGCAGCGGGGCGAGCGGGCTGCGAGGCGGGCGGGCCGCGAAGCGGGCAGCGGGCGGGCGGGCGGGCTGCGAAGCGGGCAGCGGGGCGAGCGGGCTGCGAAGCGGGCGGGCCGCGAAGTGGGCAGCTAGCGGGCGGGCGGGCTGCGAAGTGGGCGGGCCGCGAAGCGGGCAGCGGGGCGAGCGGGCTGCGAGGCGGGCGGGCCGCGAAGCGGGCAGCGAGCGGGCGGGCGGGCTGCGAAGTGGGCGGGCCGCGAAGCGGGCAGCGAGCGAGCGGGCTGCGAAGCGGGCGGGCCGCGAAGCGGGCAGCGAGCGAGCGGGCTGCGAAGCGGGCGGGCCGCGAAGCGGGCAGCGAGCGGGCGGGCGGGCTGCGTAGCGAGCGGGCCGCGAAGCGGGCAGCGAGCGGGCGGGCGGGCTGCGAGCGGGCGGCTCGGCGAGGGGCGCGCGAGGGCGCTAGTGAGGGGCGCGCGAGGGCGCTAGCAAGGGGCGCGCGAGGGCGCTAACGAAGGGGCGCGCGAGGGCGCTAACGAAGGGGCGCGCGAGGGCGCTAACGAGGGTGCGCGCGAGGGCGCTAACGAGGGGCGCGCGAGGGCGCTAACGAGGGCGCACGAGGGCGCTACGAGGCTAGGGCACGGGGTAGCGTGGTAACCGCATGCGAGCGGTGGTGGGCCCTTAAAAAAAAAAAACGGTCGGTAGGTCCTAGGGACCTCCTGCTCTGAATACCATTTCAGAATAACTAGGCAAGAATGATGAACTAACAGAAGTTTGGGTACAAATATGAAACCCTAGTTGGGGTTGTACCCCATATTGGCTACCCCACTACAGCCTACAAGCATAATACAGTTTAACACTTCTGAGCCTAGAAAGTCGCGAAATCCGTGCCGGTATAGAATGTGGATATAAGAAAAATCAATTCCTGGTATACCATACGATCATGTTTGCCAGTATCATACAGACCTTAGAGCAAGTTTCCAGATTTTACAGCCCTCAAACGAGCTCGCCACAGGTAGAATCATTCCCCTATATGAGCGGTTCTGAGTGTCAGAATGCTATTATTGTCTAGCCTGCAGTGGGGTACTCTATAGCGAGTACAGCCCAATCTAGGGTTTGCTATTTGTACTCAACTGCCTGCTAGTTCAAACCTCTCTCTCCTTTCAATCATTCTTGCCTAGTTCTTCTGACATGCTATCAGAGCAGGTCGACCCTCCTGGGTCGATCCTGTGGGTGGGCCCACCACCTAAGCCTTCCGCTGCTACTGCTACTGCTACTGCTACTCCCTGTCCGCCGCGCGCCCCGTGGCGCGCGGCGTCGAAACTAGGGTTTTCAGCCCGCCGTGCGCCCCGAGGCACGCGGCGGTTTTCTGCCCGCCGTGCGCCCCGAGGCGCGCGGCGGTTCTCTGCCCGCCGTGTGCCCCGAGGCGCGCGGCGGGTTCCTGCCCCGTCACTCGGCACGTCGCCCCCGGGAGGCGCTGCGACGGGCGACGGGGACCCGCGCGTCGCCCCCCGTCGCCCGTCGTGGCCTGCGCGCGGCCCGTACACCCGGCACGCGGCCCGTACGGGCTGCGCCAGGCCCGCGCGCGGCCCGTACGGGAAGCGCCAGGCCCGCGCGCGGCTCGGGCCGCCTGCGCGCGGTTCGGGCGGCTCTACCAGGCCCGTGGGCGGCCCGTTCCTCGCTGCTCCTGCCCTCTCCACTGTCCCCCGTGCTTCTACCGGCGCCTCACCCCTCCTACAGCCCGTTCTCCTAAATTAGGGTTTGGGGGTGAAGAGTGTGGGGGTGGCGGCTATGGGGGTGTCGGTTGTGAGTTCCTCCCCCTGCTCCTCCTCCTCCCTCGTCTCCCTCTGCTACAGCTGCCGCTGAGGGGGGTGGTGTGTGGGAGCCTAGGGTTTGGGGTTTAAGGGGGGTACCGTCGGAGTGGAGCTAGGGTGTCAGCAGGGGGTGTGTGAGAGGGGCGTGGGACGGTCGGGGGAGATTGCGTGGAGGTAGCCGTCGTGACGCCAGCAGCGCCAGTAGTCCGGATGCCCTCGCGCGTTTCGGTAGCCCAGCGAGCCTGCTTCGCCAGTCGCCTGTGGGTCCGTTGCTCCTGTGTGTGCTCGTCGTAGCCGCGGAGCCAGATACTCCCGTAGTCCGGTGCCCTCGTGCGCTCGGTAGCCACTGTGCGCGCCGCTCCTGTTGCCCGTGTGTCTGCAGCTTCAGTCGGCGCCTTTCATCTTCTCTCCTCTCGCCAGCCCTCCTCCTCCTCGCTTGCCCTCTGTGACTGCCTCTAGCTTTGCTCATAACTGTGAACTTTAAACTATTGCTTCTTGAACTTGTGCTCAGAATGTGTGGTGACATTGTGATCCACCCTGAGCTTGTACTGCTTTGCTTGCTCTGCTGATTACACCCCACTTTGGCTATGGGGGTGTGTCAGAATGCTATTATTGTCTAGCCTGCAGTGGGGTACTCTATAGCAAGTACAGCCCAATCTAGGGTTTGCTATTTGTACTCAACTGCCTGCTAGTTCAAACCTCTCTCTCCTTTCAATCATTCTTGCCTAGTGATTCTGATACTGAGCCCAAAAAGCAGCGAAATCCGTGCCGCTATAAAATGTGGATATAAGAAAAATCCAATCCTGGTATACCATACACGATCATGTTTGCCACAATATTACAGTCCTTAGAGCAAGTTTCCAGATTTTACAGCCCTCAAAAGAGCTCGCCACTGCAAGAATCAACCCCCTATACGAGCGCTTCTGAGCCTAGAAAGTCGCGAAATCCGTGCCGGTATAGAATGTGGATATAAGAAAAATCAATTCCTGGTATACCATACACGATCATGTTTGCCACTATCATACAGACCTTAGAGCAATTTTCCAGATTTTACAGCCCTCAAACGAGCTCGCCACAGCTAGAATCACCCCCCTATGGGACCGGTTCTAAGCCTAGAAAGCCACGAAATCCGTGGCGGTATAAAATGTGGATATAAGAAAAATCAAATCCTGGTATACCATACACGATCATGTTTGCCACATTCATTCAGACCTTAGAGCAAGTTTCCAGATTTTACAGCCCTCAAACGAGCTCGCCACAGCTAAAATCACCCCCCTATACGAGCGGTTTTAAGCCCAGAAAGCCGCGAAATCCGTTCCGGTAAAAAATATGGATATAAGAAAAATCAAATCCTGGTATACCATACACGATCATGTTTGCCACTATCATACAGACCTTAGAGCAAGTTTCCAGATTTTACAGCCCTCAAACGAGCTCGCCACTGCAAGAATCACCCCCCTATACGAGCGGTTCTAAGCCCAGAAAACTGCGAAATCCGTGTCGGTATAAAATGTGGATATTAGAAAAAAACAAATCCTGGTATACCATACATGATCATGTTTGCCACTATCATACAGACCTTAGA